AGAGTGGGGAACAGAACAGGCAGATCGACGAAGTACACTGCTGAGGGGAGCAGCGGGCGGGTCAGGAGAGGTCTGCCACACCACGTGGTCACCTCCGGGGCAGGCGGGAATCGAACTCATTCGGAAGCGGCTTTAGATTCTCAGTGCTGTGCTTTAACCCACTGCGCCACCAGGGAGGGCCCAAGGGGACATATTTTTAAGTGACCGCTTTTCACCACTATCAAAGTGGTTCAAAACACTTTTATGCCTCTCTGGATTTTGCAAGACGTTCCTACTCATCAACTTGTTTCTGTCCGCCACCAGTCTATTCTCAAAAACATTGCCAGGATATTCCTTGTTATAATTTAGTCAGATGGTATGATTTCTCTACTCAAATGCTTTCCTTAATTTTTTGATGTCTTTAGTACTACTGTCCCCATTCACTCCAGCTCAACCACTGAAATTTACTCCCTGTTGGTTTCAGAACACATCCTAGACACTCTTGTATCCCAGGGCCTTGAACCCCACCCACTGGAAGCTGTTAACCAGACACACAGGCTTGCTATCTCACCTCCAAATTTTTGCCTCAAAAATGCCTCCTTCCAATGAGGTCTTCTCTTACTACTTTACCATTCTAATTCCCCACTCAAAAGTCATGATTTCCTTTCATTCTTTGCATAGCGCTAACCACAACAAGAGCACCTATTTTATGTGTTTATTCACTGATGGTCTGTCACCCCCAACTACAGTGAATTTTTCTGGCCTATTTTGTTACCTGTTGAATCTTCAGGATTTGGAATATAGTAGTGTTCAAAAAATTTGTTGAATGAACTCATATTTGATTTTTTGTGAATGTATCTTGGTAGGCAGAAAATGACAGACTCAAAGGCAAATGTCATTAAGCAATTGTTTCTAATTCCTTAAGTCTACCAATGATCTGTTTTTATTATAAAAGCAAATTTTATCTAAGAGGAAGGAGAAATCTTTAGCTTCCTTGAATTTAAGGACCTCTTTAATTTTAAGGTTTTGTTTTGTTTTTTGGTTTCGGCATTACTGGCAGTGGTTTGATTCTTGTCAGTGGTGTGATGTGCACTCTCAAATTTTACAAAAAGCATTAGAAATCTCATGCTCATTGAAGTAGCATTAGGCAGCAGAAGGCAAACCTTCCTTGCTGGCCCACAGAGTTTTCTTATGCTCGGCCACTTTCTCTAGTCAGTAGGCCCGATCCTTCTGTCCTGATTCCATATTTAAAACTGCAGCACAGAAGCACAGGCTTGTTTCTGAGGTGCTTACATTAGACTCCACTCAGGAAAATTTTGTAGACGACAACTCAATTCTAGCTCTTCGTTTTGCCTCATAAGCAAGGACCTTATTGGACTTCTATCTGCCTTCCAGCTATTGATGCCATGATTGCAAATCCTAGCAGCAATTAAAAGGATCATAGCCAGAAATAAGGACAGGTAAATTAAAAAAAAAAAAACAAAAACAGTGGATGGAGCATGCATGACATGCCTAACATTCATCTTCACTCCCCAATCCAATAGGCAGAGATGAGAAATTGGTTTGCTAAACTTCATTTCCTGCAGCAGTTGCTTAGTAGGAAAGTTAACTTAGATTATTGCACAATTTGCTTCTCGGTGCTCTAAAATCCCCCTAATCCCTAATAGCTGTAGCAATCCTCTAGCTTCTTAACAAGCAGGGAGTGGAGCTGATTCAAAGTGGGCTTCTCATCCTAGGGCCTGGCCTCCATTTTAGATAGGAACTAATGCTAGCAAAGCCCTTTCCGGAATGGAACCCGGACTCCTTTAGCCCCTCTCCGCCTCCAGCCTCGCTCCGCCAGGATCTCCTCGCTTCAGCTTTTCCTACAGCTCATCCTAAGTCACGCATGACAATTTTCACACCATTGCTCTTAAGTCTCGAAATGACCTCAGGTGATGACATTTGTGCTCAGAAAGAACTGGAATCTGTTCCACGGCCAGAGCCGATATCCCGAAACCGCCGGCGGCCCCCATCCCGGGCCGAGCGCCACACCGCGCGGGGACCCGCGCGCGACCAGACGGAAACCAGGCGGCCGCGGCCGCAGGCCCCTCCCGGCGGGCGGCTCCTCCCTCCAGCCCCTCGCGGGTACCTGGCGCTGGCGGCGACGGCGGGCGGACCGGGGGCGGCGCCGCGCGGCGTGACGCGGCGGGGTGGGAGAGCGGGCAGGTGACACGGCGGCCTCTTCCCCTCCCACAGCCCGGTCGCGGTCGGGGCAGAAGGGGCCGCTGTGAGGAGCTCGGCGCTCGCGTAGCCCGCGGATCCCCCCCCCGCCGCCGCGAGCCGCTCTGGGTGAGTGCGGGCGCCGGCCCGCGGGGCCCGGCCAAACTTTTTCTGGGCGCCGAGGAAAGATGAGGGTAGGCGGGAGGCGCCGGCGCGGGGCGTCGGGAGCCGGGACAGGGACTTGCGCGCGGCGCGCGGGAGCAGGAACTCGGGGAGCCCCGCCGGGCGCTCTGGGCTCTGGGGAGCGCCGGGGAAGTTGGAGCAGCGCGGCCTGCGGATGCTGAGGGCGGGGCCCGGCGCTCACCTGCGCGCTCCCGGGGAGACTCCGCTGTCCCCGGCTTCCCGCAGGGCCGTGGGCCCGCCGCCCCGGAGACCCGAGAGCTCCCGCGCGGCGCGGCCCCGGCGGTTCGGGCGCGAAGGCGAAGGTGGCATCGCCGGCGGGACCCGCTCGACCTTGGCCGCCGAGGTCACTTGCCCAACTCCGGAACCTGGCCTCACCAGCCACCCCGCGACACTCAGAGGCCCCTCTTTCTGCTTTCTTCTCATCTGGGGCGCTGTTGTGTCCTCGAAACCGGAATGAACTTGGAGCTCTGCTATTGCAGCGGGGCGCTGTCTCTTTGGCTCCGCGAGTTGGCGGTGGCGGTGGCTGCCGAGAGAGAAGCGAGATGAGTAGAGTCGTAGAACAGGTTGTGCGGGCGATGAAAATGGGAAAGCCTGTTGTTTTATCTCCCAAGCTATCGTTCCTTAGGAAATGGGCCTTTCTCCTCTTAATCAGTCAGCGCTAATTCAAACTTACCGGATGCAAACATAGACCTTTTTGGACGCCCCTGCTCCCGGGGGAAGCTAGGGCAGAAAGGATCCGGTCTCTACCCCGGTGCCGCTCCCAGTTTTTTGGAGAGCTAGTCCAAAACTGGTTTTAGCGAGCAAAGCCTTTCCCTCTGGCCGAGATACCCTTTGGAAAGCATTTTCACTGGACCCTGTACTCGCAGGTTATCTTTATTTCACTTCTCACTTTTACTTTTTGACTGCTGTAAAAGTCATCGATACTTTGTGGTTTTCTTGCCGCTCACCTGTTTATTCATTTCCTTTACTTGTATAACAGCTTCTGCTCCTACTACTGGCCAGGAATGGTTTTCCTCAAGGTCGCCAAGGATCAAGAAGTCTTGGCAGACTTTTTGTGAATTCTTCTACACCAGATGTTGTTCTAAGAACTTGTGCTTAAGTCTTAATCCTTGTAATGATCCTATTAGGTAGATGATAGAACTAGCCTCCTCTTTAAGTGTGAGGAAACCCAGTCACAGTAGCCTGCCCAGAGGCACACCGGCAAGGCTAAGCAAAGGGGGATCCCAACTTCGGGACTCTGGCACCAGCCACCCCCTCACCTGGAGTTTTCATGGTCCTCCTCGTTTTTTCCCCAAGTCCTGTGCTGGTTCCAGCATCATTGACCACACTGTTTCTCAGGTCTCTCATTTCCATCTTGTGCAGCAAGGACTAATGAGATGTTTGGGGTTTTATTTATTTAAGATTTTATGGGACTTTTTCTTCAGTCATTACTTCTACTTACCAAGTTTAAATCTGTGTTTTGCAGTGTCCTATTCAGTTTCAGGGCGACATCTGTCAGAGCATATTGTGATATTCCAGTTGGACTTGTCTTACTTTGCCCCAAAGCATGTCCAGCTAACTGACATTTCTGTTGGGGGCTCCATGGAGCCCCCAAGGAGCAAAACTTTGGTCTTGTTTCATGTCACCCTTCTCCCAATCATGAACTCTCTTGTGCTCAACTTTGAGGTCTCTTCTTGCTCCCTTATCAGTCTCATTCCACCCCACAAATTAATTTCACCACCCTGAAATCTCACTTATCACATATTGTATGCCATTTTCCACTTGGTTATCTTTTGTGAATGTCCTGTAAAAAAATTACAAACAACCTATGACATTAAATCTCCAACTAGTAGTTGTTTAATAAATGTTTGCAGAATATGATTCAATATAAATTAAGTAGTTGTAAGTGGGGACTGCTAAGAATTGCATTTTAAAAGCACTTCTCTGCTAGCTGGAATTTCACCTTTGTGAGATCTCCTCTTCTCCCATTGTGGTTGCTATCTCATTTCTTTCTGATATTCATTCATGCATATAATCTGGGAAGGATTATTATCTTGTTTACATTAGGTATCTTGATTGTGATCAGTTTATGTAAGAATTTTGGATTAGAATTTAAACTTTATGGATGTCCTCTGTGCCATGTGTTTATAGAATAGTCAAGTCTGCATTTAAGTTATAAATCTTTTATTGACAGTTATGGGATGCAAAGCTTCAGCATCTTTCAGATCTGTAATTTTTGCAAAAAGTCACTTTTACTTGCATTTTCTTGTGAATTTTGTCTGAAGTCAGCAAAACTGCACCATATTCTTAATAGTACACACAGCTGCAAAAAAAAAAAAAGTTACTAGAGTTGCTCAGGTTAAGAAAGTGACTTCTCTGGCTCATTGGAATTATGCAGTCAGAATTTAAACCCAGGTGTAATTACAGTGTTTGGGCTCTTCCCTCACTCTGTGAGTTCACATATTACAGGTATAAGAGACATTAGGATAGCTTTGAGGGGGCATAAGCACAACTATAAATATAAGGTTGTTTAGATCTTTTGGGTTCCATAGTAGAAATGTGAGAACTAGAAGAGGGTTTGGCTAGTAGTCCCTAATCTGAATATATTGCTCCTTCTGTCTGCCTCAGACATCTGGGTTTTGTCTTAACAGCACATTTATGACTTATTTGTTTGTTAATGAGAATTAAGTGACATAACAAGGACAGAATAAAAGGAAAAGGTGCTTTTATTTAAAGGTGATTTAGTTCTAAACCTTTCCAGGGACTTTTCAACCCATTCCCTGTTTCCTCCTGCCTTCTCTAAACAGAGAATGCTATGTTGGATCCTGTGGACCAAAAAGATTTATGTCTCAGACGCAAACAAAGTCAGCTGACTTATATTTTAATCTCTCTGATGTTTATCACTGAGTTGGCTATCCAGCACATGCACAGCCTGTTCATTAAAATGCTAGCAGGTATGGTTTTTAGTTAAAGCAAAAGAGAAGGTAAAAATAACATTCTTAAGAATCCACAGTCTAATGACTAATATTCAGTAGCTTAGGTAGGGTGAGTTACAGAGTAAATATGGAATGAAACTTAAAAAACAAAATTGTGAGAACCACTAATCATTATTCAAAGGGAGAAAAGAATGGGAATAGATGCACTGCTTATGTATAGTCACTGTTTTATACATCTAGATTTTTATCTGTTCAACCACATATACATGATATGCATTTTCTATTTCTCTGTTTCTCTGGGTAAAAAAAGACAGCTGAATGCTCATAGTTGCATGTGGCTTATCCCAACAAGGACAGTCCTCTTGACATCTGACCAGCTGACTCCATGACCCATGGTCTTCATTTCCACAGAAAAGAGTGCCAGGCATGATGAGCACAGGCGCGAGGAGCCTGTTCCCTCTCCAGCTGCTGGGTTACTGACTCAACAAGAGTGTATTTATTGCAAACTTGTTAGTGCCAGTTGTACTTGTTATTGTGATTAGATCATCTAAACCGTAAACTATAAAACATGAGTGCAAAAGGAAAGACTTACATTGTTTATGTGAAAAGCATGATAAATTCTTTGGAAAGAGTATATGAAAGTGAGTGGTTGAAAAGTGGTTAGAAAAAATTGTGAAGAAAATAAAACCTTGAAATAATGTCTTGAATTTGCTTTTAAAGTTGTTGGGGTTTTTGTTTGTTTGCTTGTGGTTTTCAATCCACTTGAAAAATTAAAACTGTTTTCCAGAAAATAAATTCAGGGTATGGTTTATATAAAAAAAATTAATAGGAAGAAATGCTTCTTAAGAAAAATCTTGGAACCACTTTGGGAAATTAGTGCATATTTATATGTCTTAGGGTAAAGTAAATGTTTATGGCATGTATATAAATTTTTGATTATGTACTATAAACATTTTTTGATTAGTCAACTAGAGCCAGACAATATTGCTGCCATAGCCTAACAATAATAGTAGTTTGTGGTCAGAACCTTTGCCTCGATCGTTATTCAGTGTATCTACATTAACAAAAACAAATTGAAACTCTGCTGTTGTGAATGCAATACAGCAGGGTACATGCAAATATTTCCCTTTGTCATACTACAACTGGTACTTAATCAACTAATACTCCTTATTTCATTTATTTTTTTATATTTTATATATTTTTATGTCATTCTTCATTTTCATACATGTGTGTTTTATCCACTCATGTATGGTCGCCAAGGAGTTCCCACCACCAGTTTACCCATGCACCATCACCATAATCCCTTGTATGCTTCCCATCAGTTTTAAAACTTTAAAAGCAAATTCAGAACATTATTTCAAAGTTTTCTTCACAATTTTTTCCACCCCTGATCATACTTCTTATTTTAAAATAAGATTTTAGTATCCATTTAACATTTAAGTTAATAAAGAGGACCACAGTCTAGCTTAGAGCTAGCTCCCACTGCCCTGAAATGACTTCCATAAAAATTGAAAGCAAAATATAATATAGGATTAGCTATTAGCTATAGGATTAGAGTATAGCACTAGCTATACTCTTAAAGTTGATAAATTTTTCAGTGCTTTTAAGCTGATGATTTGAATTGGTCATGGGATAACTTATTAAATAATGATTATAGAGTATGGTCATTATTTCCTGAGACAATACAAGTTAATGTGGAAAAAACAAACTTATATTGAGAAAAGTGAAATATTCTCAAAGTTCCTACCAGGAATATGGTATTGTTTTCATTTTGTAGATAAAGAATATATATATATATATATATATATATATATAATTAATATAAACTGATGTCTGTCTGGAACTATCTTGTCTATCTAGTACTACTTGCCAAGGGTAGTAATTAACAGAACTGGGAACCAGACCCATTTCAGTTTGAACTCCAATGCCCATATACCCATATCCCACTTTCTTACATAGTACTTTTATTAGTTTTAATCTGGATTTCTAGTATGGGTCTGTATTTGCTTAAGTGAAAGCAGTTTATTTGAAATGATTCTAGACAGTACCAGCAGATAATGGAAAGAGGGACAGCCAGTAAAAGGTATGTTAATGAAGATGCTGTTACTACCATCCTGGACACTTAAAGTTCAGTCCCATTGGGATATACCTTAGAATTATCCTACCCAAAAGACAAGGAATAGAAACCATGGCTGGGACATGAGTGTGTAGATAATATTTTAAAGAACTACTAAAGTATGTCAAGCTAGAAAGTACCTAGAGATCATGTAAGTCAGCCTTCTCTTTCACGAATCTTCTCATACGTGAAACTGAGGATCAGCAGGGTCAAGTCCTTTGTATGCTGGAGCCTATTTAGCCTACTGGAACCAAAAACAAGTTCTGATTACAATTCACTTACATTTTTAACTTAATAATTATTTTCTCTTCACTGGCATTAATTCAGGAGTTAGCTTTACTACTGAATTTTTGAGTCTCCTATGTTGCCCTATCCATCCTTGTCTATTGGAAACAACATTAATTTCTCCTTTCCCCCCTTTCCCTCCAACCCCTTATTTGGGTCCCTACAGTCCTCCTATAAGAAAAACCATCCATTATCTTTCTTTTTGGCTAATTTTATGGAGCATGATCCTATTCAACTAAATCCATGTTGCTGTGAATGACATGAGTTTATCTTTTACAATTGCTGAGTAATACTCCATTGTGTATATATACCATATCTTCTTGATCCATCTGATGCCCATCGGATTTTGGGCATTTAGGCTGTTTCCATTGCTTATCTATTATGAATAGTGCTGTAATAAACATAGGAATGTGGGTGCTCTTTTGAATTAATGCTTTTACATCCTTTGGGTAAATACCCAGGAGTGGAATTGCTGGATCATCTGAGAGTTCCATTTTTAGCATTTTGAGGAACCTCCGCTCAGATTTCCATAATTGTTGGACCAATTTGCATTCCTACCAGCAATGTAGGAGGGTTGCTTTTTCTCTGCATCCTGGCCAACATTTGTTGTTGCTAGTTTTTTTAATATGTGCCATTCTCACTGGTGTAAGATGGTATCCTATTGTGGTTTTGATTTGCATTTCCCTGACTACCAGTGATGTTAAACTTTTTTTTTTT